TAACGCCAGCATTGAGGAATCCCTCTCGAACATATAGGAACAGAATGGGTTGAATCTCACGAATGTTCAGTCCTTAGTGGTAAAATACACTGCTCAGTTTGGCAAAATGTGCTGCTCATAGTCTAATTAATCCCCTATACTGACATTCTGGGAAATTGGAAGCACTTACGGAGTACTGGTATCGACATTAATGACCATTAGAAGCCCCACGGCACCTCGCGCACTTATCACGTCGATTGTGGGAACTTCCCATGGACACCTCAGGCCAGGGTTCGGCATGGTTCCCAGAGCATGGATGCGGTTCTCGTCTCACCTCGCGATGTCCGCAAGCGAATATGGTTGTTGTAATCCAGATTTGACACATGGTATATGCCTCCTGGAAGAATAATTAGCTACGATCTGATATGATGGACAGGAAACAACCAACGATTTAGACGATATAGGAGAATGATGAGATCTAGAGGGAGCCCGGGAAGAAGCAAATGGTGCTCGGGGGGGAGGAGAGGTATAGCTGGAAGATTTAAAGTAGATATATGCCGCGATTCATAGTGGGATTTTGAAGATTGATATAGTCCTCGGAGATAGCTCATCTGATAAGGCTTTGCTGCGCAATCAACAAGCCGGTTTGCTAGATAGTTTGAGATAGTAGTAGTGTTTTTCGTTGTTACCTGCGGATCGAGGAAAGATCTACTCCGATAGAAGTATTCAGAGCCACATTCCTGCAGTATGAAAAAAATTCATAACTGCCACCTATCAATGGTACAACAACGCCAAGCTGGAAAAAAGCCTGTGACGGAGTTAGTTAAGTCAGCGCGAGGCTGTGTGATTTAAGACTAAGAGCCATAGTTAACAGTGAGAATGTAATATTTTGCTATGAAATAGTTAAGATCCCCAGAAAAGGAAAAACGAGTCAAACTTCGACAACAGGGATTGGAGTTAATTTGATTGTTAACTTATTGCCATAAAAACAATGAAATTAAACATTTTGAGAAATAATAGTATTCAATATTCGTACCTTCATGCTAATAAGATGTAATCGAAGGATAAGCTCGAGCGAGCCAATCGGAGAATAAACAATAATTACCAGGAACAATGCCTTGATTGGACAAGGAGTATACCCTGTAGAGTTTTACAGGGGTGGGCTGGGTGGGGCAAGGCCTGTAGCAAAGATTCGTTATTGATGTCACAAAGTTAATTGGCTAGGCTGCAGAATAATCTGCATACGTACCCAGATTTCTTTCTCTCTCTTCCACCGGAAGTTCTGAATGCCCTTGAGCAATGATGCCCTATATCTACGAGTCAGAAACCAAGATTTTTATTGGGTCATCACCATTGTTCATAACGACCGAGCACACGATATCAATTATGCCAGACCCGCCCACCAGCGGCTGTTTGTGCGAAAATCTGCAAGCTATCTTGCATTCTGTCTTCCGTCTAAGGGTTCTTCCGACTTCAGCATTCTTGCATCTACCAATTAGCCAACGACCATGGAAGCTTATCGAGGCTTGAAAACATCTTCTTCACAGCAACGCTCTCGTTCCTACTACTATTCATATTTCGGAAACCATCTTTTCTATGTGTGATGCTGCATGTGTCTCTTACGACTTTTTGATGGCGGCCTCAAAGCCAGTGCCCATAATAATACGGCGTATTCGAATGGTGGCGGGAGCCCGTCTGAGGTCTCGGTCTTGGATCTGTTCCAAATGCCCTACGTCGCTGAGTAAATATACCCTTCAACCAGAGGAGGAAAGCCTCCTCGCTCGCCAGATTATCCTTAAACAGCTGCCTCCCCAAGGAGCTCCATATGATGGGTTCTTTCGAAGATATAGATATATAGTCTAAGGGGAAGTTTTACTCCGTACGATCGTCGAAAAAAAGCTAGTGAAATACAGGTAAATATTATAATACTTGCGTTATTATAAAAAATAGTAAAGACTATACTATAGCTTCAGCAGGTCGTTTGTGATTTAATGGCCAGTTATATCTCTTGGGCTGACCCTAAGCTTGCTCCAGGCTTGGCCAACGCTGAGGTCAGTACCACCACATTTGCCTGTCAACATCAGTTCGCGGCCATTGTCATCTTTCACATACCAGACGTAGTCGTTCTACCGTGGAGCCGAAGGGTTAGTAGATACACGAGGTGGAGGTAGAACTGAGCCAGAAATACATGACTCTTACCTTTCCAAGTGTTAACTTGATTACTCTATCAACGATAGATGGACGGTATGTAACAAGTTGGTCCTGGCTTTTGATTAGTGTTAGAATATTTGACGCGACTATTTCTGCCTGGGATTGGCAAGCCCGGCCCATCCGTGGACCATTGGTTTTGGCGACATCTCCCAGTGGAAAAATGTGTTTGTTTTCAATTTCAAGACTGTTGTTGACCTGCAGAATTAAATGAACGAGGATCTGGCCGGTTTCTTTACATATGGCGGACGGAAAGCATTTCGAGAGGATGTTTGAGTTTGGGAGTTGTCCCGTGCAGCGGATCTAGAGTACGAGGTTTAGTTTAGCGATAAGTGTCTACAGTCCAAGGTGTGATACATAAAATTCAGAAAAGGGCAGTGGATAAATCCCTAGGTTTCGCAGGGTTCCTTACCACCAAATCATATATCTCTTCAGAGCCAATCTTAAACCGCAGCGACAACTCCTGACTAATTGGGGCAGTCCCATCAACTGCTTCTGTGGTGCTCTGTGGTCGTTCACCCAATATGCTCTTAATATTTAACCGGTCAAGACTCTGCAGAATATGCCCGTGTAAACGAGGACCAAAGTTTGGCAAGAGTTGATGCCGTGAATGAATTAGGGTAACACTCTTAGCCGGAAAGAAACTCTTGATATCAGTTGCAACTTGAACTCCCACAGGACCTCCTCCTATCACTGCAATTCTTTTCGCATTCTGAACTTGTTTCTGGATCACACGCATTTCAGCACATGCATCTTCCTTATCTTTAGACTTCATCCTTGCCGGTGGGGGTTGATGGGATCCCGTTGCAATAGCAAGATACTCATAGTTAATGCTTCTGCCCGACGCCAGTTCGATCGTATTTCCTGTAACATTCGTTGCGGAGTCTTGAACATGCTGAAAGATACCAGCAGGTGCGTGGCTAGCAATTCCGGTGCATGGAATGAAAGCTGACTGCTCCATTCCCGGGACCACCCCGAACCTTGGGAATACATAAAGATGGTTAAAATGCGAGTTTTTTTTAATCAAAACCGCCCGATAGCCAGTTGGCAACGTCTCTGTCAGTCGCTGGGCAAGGTGGATGCCGGCATATGAGCCACCAAGAACTACCACATTCTTCGGCGATGGGGTCGCCTGGTATAACCATCGATGTCCAATTGCTTGTATATGTTGGTACACACGGGCTAAACCTATGCTTAGCATCGCCCGTGAGCCCTTGCCATAGAACTCAAGTGACTCTGACAGCATGATTGTCAAGTTGTATGGAGGATTTATAGCCCAAGCGCACTCAGCAAAGGCGAGGAAACGACAAGTAAGAAATGACAGACGGGAAAAAGAATATGAAGGCAATACTTACAGGTACAGGTTTTATCCAAGTTATATACTCGCCCAAAATTAGCAACGTCTCAGAAAAGATTGTTAGCATGAGAGAATAAGACCAGGAGAAGCAGAGTACTTGTTTGCACCGGGGATATTCATTACTATCCCCGGGCCATGCCCGTGATCTCCGACGGGCATCGGGCTTATGTATCGCCTCCTTCTCTCTCCTGGGAGGTTTAGTTGCGGGTGTATCGTTTGTATCAACGCACGGTCAGGCAGGCAAACTAAATACAGTACTTCCGAAGCTAGGTAGTTATAATAACCCGTTGGAGGAAAGGAGAAGAACCTCTCCCAGGAGGATAACTAACCTCCTTACTCGCCGTCGCAGAGCAAAGAGCCGCTGACTAATGGTATCAATTAAGTTAGTTAAACGTTTCCACGTGATGAAGGCTAAACTTTGTTTGTAATACCCGCGGATCTGACTTTCTCTTTAACCGCGATCTCTTTAACCGCAGGTGAATTTGGCTTCGGATTTACCAATAACGTATTACAAACTTTAGGAGCCAGATTATCAGTTTATTTTGCTTGGTTCTCCGCTGGCTCTAGTAGTTTGACTGTTATTCTAATGGAGTTTGGTTTTGACGTTTCGAGCAATTCAACTATTTAATCAGCATCAAGCATTGGCACAAATGGGATCCCCAGAGGGAAGTTCGCTGAGATGTAGCAGAGGAACTCGAGCTTCCCGAAACAATTGCGTGTATTACGGTCATCGATTCGCGCCGTTTGGATCAAAAGACACGGTCTCTTTGGCCTGTTCCTGGGAGGTACGGATCGACCGGCTCGTGCCGTTGTGCTAGTTTGCCATCAAACTCCCGGCCCGGGCGGGTGCAGGGGATAACTAACTACTAACTACTCCGACGGACTGAATGGACCATCGGGTCAAAATTCAGTCTCATAAAGGGGCAGGCATTAGTGCCAAGCTAATTAATCACCAATTTCTATATAGTAAGGCCTGCTCACTCCGTTTGGGATATTGACTAACAGGTAACTAGTTTATCGCAGCTTCTGCCTCCTCTATGTCTGTTAAATGCGCGTCGCTCAGTCAGCTCTAACATCGATCGAGCAGAGATTCCATCTGTGTATTAACTTAGGCTTATACATCTAACGAGTTACATCTATCGTATCCTTGGGGCCAGTCTTCCTTTATTACTCTTCGTCTGCTGTGGCCTATGCCGGACATTTCCAGTTTCCACCACCACAACTATATCTAGCTGTATGGAGAGGGCCTCCACTGCGCGGCCTTTGCGCCGACGCCGTAGGCCGACGTTAGCATGTGAGCCGTGCAGGCGTAAAAAGGTTCGGTAAGTCGAGCCCAAAGCGAACTGGGTACCTGGACGAATAACTACGAGGAGGAAGGCTGTTAAATTAATTGCTAGCAGATGTGATCGGAATCTGCCCTGCGAGCAATGTTCTCGCTCCAAGATGGAGTTGTGCAATTATCTGACTGATAACGACTCTCTCACCACAGGCTTCAGCAATAGTCGTGCGACGAGCCACATTACGCCACCCCGCCCCCCTGTCGCAGGTCCTTCAAGCAGAGGCCATTCTACAGCCTCCTAGGGGACACTATACCAGATATCTATTGTCAACACTCTAGACACTAGGCTGGCGGCTGCTGAGCCTACGAGGGGCCTTTCTCTACCTGGTTTTAACGCTTCTGACCGAGTTCCTGCCCACTTGTTACATGTGAAGGACCCGGTTATTACCCCTGATATCGGTAAACCTCCAAGCTCAGATACAGACTCGCTTTCTGCCCCGAAAGCTATAAATATTGCTGCAGCCTCGCCATCTGCAGCCTATAAGGAGAATACCGTAGTCCGAGGGATCTTCTCAAAGACAAAGTTCTTTGGTCTTAGTCATTGGATGAATAGTATCTATCAGGTGCGTAACAACGTTTTGCCAGCTACGCAAATTCAAGAAATGAATACTCATTATCACTAGTTCCCTCAAGTGTACGACATGCTCCAGAAGTGTGAACTAGACGAGACTTCCGAAGCTCGCGCAGTTTACGATAAATGCAAACACCTGGCCAGGGCTATTAAGGCCCAAGAAATTGCTAAACATAACCCAGTTGCAAACATTCTGGACCATGTTCCTCCTAGAAATGTTGCTGAACCGCTAGTGCAGGCATATCTCCGAACCTTTGAGTCGATATTCCGGGTCTTACACGTGCCATCATTCTTAATTTTGAGAGCCATTGGGATAACCCCGGCTCCTCAAGTCCTGACTTTATCGTCAAGCTACTTCTTGTAATGTCCATTGGCTCTATCTTTTCTCCGGCTCGCAGTGCATCAGACACCAGCTATTCTACTATATCCCAATGGATATATGTGGCGCAATCATGGCTAAACTCTCCGTTTGAGAAAAGTCGAATCAACGTCTCAGGGACACAGATTCACTGTCTTCTGCTCCTGTCACGCCAGGCAAATGGTGTGGGGGGAGACCTGGCCTGGGTCTCGGCAGGCTCTTTGTTAAAGACCGCAATGCATATCGGACTTCACATCGGCCCGTCACACTTGCCTAATGTTACTTTCTATGACCAAGAAATCCGACGAAGGCTATGGGCGACCGTCCTGGAGATCGTCGTGCAGTTCAGCATGGATTCTGGCGGGCTTCCCTTAATTCACATGCAAGGTATAGACTGTGAGCTACCTTCTAACATTGAGGACGAGCAGCTGGAGGATGCCAATGAAATTATAGATGCCACGCATGCGAAGCTTTTAGAGGAATATACCATGACCTCCGTCCAGATTGCGTTGGTGAAATCGCTTCCTTTAAGGCTAGAAATAGCCTAATATCTAAACAACTTCCGCTCGGAACCCTCTTATGAAAAGACACTCCATCTCGCTTCTCGTTTATCCTCGTTTTGTCGAGACAATTATGTCCTCTTCCAGTCCTTCCCCCCTGAAATGCCCCGCCCCGCTTCGTTCCAGATTAAGATGCTAGACCTGTTATCATATCGATTCCTACTAGCGCTACTCCACCCTTTTGCCATGAAGGCAAGAGTAGATCCTACCCTATACTATTCCCGGAAAGTATGCATAGAAGTATCTGTTTCTCTTTTGGTTCCCCTCTCCGCCTCCAATGATACCGAATCTTCTAATGACAACTATAAAAATCTCAAAATCTCTGGCACCGGTTTATTCCGCGATGTGCCCGTGATGGCTATCAGCACAATATGCGAGGCACTAACCTACCAACTCGAAGAAGAAAAGTCCTCCTTCATACCCGTTTCGAGCTTATTTTCGCATCAAAACCTACGGGAAATTATCGAAGAATACATCCACCTCCTTGACATGAGAATACAACATCGCGAAACAAACATAAAAGGCTATGTGTTATTTTCGTGTGTACTCGAACATATTAATGCCATCCAAGCTGGCTTGTCGGTTGAACAGGCAATTGCTTCTGCTTTGAACCGGAGCTTGGATCAGTGTTACTACACATTGAAAACCAGAGCGATGGCATGGGGAATTAATATGTCACCAGACATCGACATAGATACCTCTGGACATACTCAACCTGATGATAGAACACTTGGGACCCATGATTGGCTTATTGACGATGGGTTTGTAAGGTTTGCCTTTATCCCCGTTTTTGTTGTACAAGTAAATTAACATCTTCAACTCCGCTTCAGGATACTGGGATGGGGTTTGATACTTCGCTCTTATCTGGTTCAATACTAAAGGATATCGGTACGGGAAGTTGATTTTATGCAGCTTTCGCTGTGGACCATTAACTACACAATTGATGTCCACTGAGAAAACCACTTCTAAGTATCCAACTATACGACTCGATATGACAAGTCTCGAGGAGTCGGTAATAGCAACGTGGGTCCCACCCTACTCTCGGAGATGTCAAAGCCTTGTTAAATTTGATGTCCAGCTAGTGTCCCTTATCACCGAGTGGACAACCTGATGTCCGGTTGAGTCATCATCTCCGGGCATGACTTAGTTGACACGGGTCTTTCGCCAGCAACGCTTATCAGAGCCTTTTAAATGACAGATGAGCTTGCTCTTCCAGTCAGTCAAATATGCCAACCTACATTATCACACGATGGTCAAATGCACACAGGCGTCCTCCAAACTGGAGCTTTCTCTCAACAACCCTGCAAAAGACCAGGAGACAGCGGTTATCCCCAACCAGCAAAACCAAGCCGGCAATGGTGATGACCACAACCTTGATGATTTTCCTGAAGGCGGCGCTCGCGCATGGGCTGTTGCCATTGGCACGGCTGGGATAGCGTTCTGCACCTTGGGTGTTATCAATTCGTTCGGGTGAGTATACCGTGTAATCGTGCTTTTTCAGTTGTTCAAGTCCACCTACTAACATCCGGTAGGGTTCTCCAGGGATGGTACCAGGTTCATCAGCTGGAGGACCGGACTGCATCAGAAATATCATGGATCGGGTCCACACAGGCATTATTCGTGTTTGGGGGAGGTGTAATCGGAGGGCCTCTATTTGATCTTTATGGAGCCAAGGTACCTAGTATTGAAGTGCACCAACTGAGCAACTATCGGGCTGATTTTAGGCTGTTAGGTTATTCGGCCGGCGGCATTGCTTTATGTTGTGAGCATCATGCTGACCAGCGTCTGCAAGGAGTATCATCAGTTTGTGCTCGCTCAGGGCATTCTTGGTGGTCTTTCCAATGGCATGACCATATTTCCAGCGATGTCTGCAGGACCCCAATATTTCAACAAGAGACGCGCCGCTGCCATGGGAATAGGGATAGCGGGGTCTTCCCTAGGAGGTGTCGTCTGGCCCATCGTCCTAAGTAAGATGTTAAATGAGACAGAGCTGGGCTTTGGATAGACGATACGCATCGTGGGATTTGTGTGTCTAGCCCTTCTTCTGCCATCTTGCATAGCAGTCAAAGCCCGCCTCCCGCCGCAAAAAACCCAGTTCTTTCTCTGGTCATCCTTTAAAGAGACCCCTTATCTATATCTCGTCGCTGCAGGCTTCTTTGGGTTTCTTGGAGTATTCACACCGTTGTTCTACCTACCTATCTATGCCTATATCCAAGGTGCAGGCGTCTCACTGGCCTTTTATCTCGCGGCGATTTTCAACGCAGCATCGTTCGTGGGTCGAGTCGTCACCGGTATTCTTGCCGACAAACTAGGCCGCTTCAATATGTTTTTCGCAGCGACCATCACCAGTGGTCTCCTTACAGTTTGCTGGTTGGAGGTCCATACTGATGCTGCATTGGTTGTTTTCGCTTGCTTCTTTGGCTTCTGCTCTGGTGCAGTAACTACGGGAATGGCGGTATCTTTCACCTCCATTCCCAAAGATCCCCGGAACATAGGTACATATATGGGTATGGGCATGGGGATCGCTGCTATAGCGGCACTCGTAGGGCCCCCTATTAATGGAGCACTCCTTAGCGGCCGGGGGTTTGCCTCAATGGCATACTTCAGTGAATCAGTGAATTTTCTGGCGGCTTTTATGGTGGTTATAGCCAAACATTCGACCACCAAAGGAATTTTTTCGAACAATTGATAAGTTTATATAGATATGTTTATCCCTGAGCATCAACGTTCGTTAGGTAGCTAGTCTTGCGTTCTCTTGATCTTTTCTTCACTGAGAAAGGCTTCGTTTTTCTCTCCGGTACCTCAAAGGAGTCATCTCTGTATCTATCTACATCTTCTTCCCCTCCTTCTCTTCACCACCGGCTTCTTGCTGCCATAACAGCAGGCTGAGCCTCTCTCAGATATCCGCCTCCTCCCGATAGTAGGGTACCTCAACCTACTCGCCGCAGTAAAAAAGAGCTAGAGGACAGTAGTTTTACTTTTATTTTAATACCTAGTTCGTTACGCTTGCCTCCGCCGGCTTGTGTGACTGACCCCCTCGACCCTCACTCTTAATAGTAAAGGGAAATGAAAATAAATGCCGCACCGTCCCCGAACTACCCTCTTTACTTCCCCCCCCCCCCAAGGTTCAGAGCTAATTTGCTAGAATCGTGACCCTTTACGGGGCGGGTCTATAGGAATTCTAAGTAGTAGTAACTAAGCGTATACTTCGGTTATATAGTATAAACTGTAGGTTGTACTCATAAACTGTAATACTAGTAAAATATTAAAGTTACGGCCCGACTATAGCTTGTTCTCCTATAAGTATTTGGTTGTGCGAGCTAGTGGGAGGGGGGTTTATAGAATATCTTCCTATGCTCTCTATAGTACAAGGGTCTACTGGAGGTGAGATAACCTCAAATAGAAATGAGAAATTTGATCTATTAATACTGAGTGATAACTAGTGTATGAAGGTTCAAGTGTTTGAGAAGGGTGTTTTGACTTACCATACGCGCAAAGCTTGTTAATAACTTCTTGTTTGATTTTCCAAGCTAAACCGTCACTACGAAGCTGGTGTGGCGTGCCCGCCTAGTAAATTTAACTTAGCTTACTGCCTTTTCTTCTCTATCAAGTGGCTCTATGTATCTGACTATTATCCTGATTTTTGTCTCGATAAAACTTAGTTGTCCCTCCTAACACGTTCCGTTTAATGTAACGGCCTAACTTGCTAATAAAGTTGTCACCGAACCCTGAAGCTGCTATTAATGGAGGAGTATTGGGACGTCCTCTATCTAAGCACAAAATAAGTAAGTGAGGCTTAGCTTTATATAGGAAAGTTGTTGTGAAAGCGAATTGAAAGTCCCGGAACCTTCTATTGGTTTGTAGAGTGTTACTATTTCCGGCAATGATTATATTACGGACTCTCTGCAGGGCAGGCTTGGTTAGCTTGGGAATTGTAGTATTTGATAGTTGAAGATATGTATTGTGCCGTTCAAATGAATACCCTGCTTATTTAAAGGAAACTCCTAAAGTGTGCTATCCTATGGTAGTCGAGGATGGTATCCAAGACAGTCCGCGTTGGTTATATTAAAGTCTACAACAATCCGCGGAAATTCGGCCTGGAGGAAGTGTCCGACAAAATAATCCACCCACTGCTGAGCAAGATGGACATTATTATGAAACCACTTCGATCCCAAGGTCTGTTGGTCGAACTCGAGTGCGAGCTGCGTGAGTCCTTGTTTAATTTGGGGTTGTGCAAACATGGCGCGGGCAATGCTGGCAGCCGATGCGACGTAGGTGAATTCCGCACTATTAGCCTCGTAGGGAAAAAGGGTTGGGTTACCAGGAACTCTGAAACCGATATTGAACGCGATGTTGGGCATATTGGTAAAACCGCGAAAGGATAGAAAGATAACTATAAAGGAACGAGAACACTTTCACAGACTATCCAGGAGTTTGTGGGCTTGTGATGGGAGAAAAATTGACAGAGGGAAGGCATCTTGGGGGTATTTATGCAGTGAACAAAGAAAAAGTAAATGAGACATCCCCTCTACAAGCCGCATAGCTAACCGCTTGGGACCTCTCCTGAATAGTTATTGTCTCCCTTATTATCTTTTTATATCTGGAATTTAATACTATATATATTGTCTGAGGAGATTGGCTCGGTCTTTTAGATATATTTACAAATTGGTTACTCGTGGGCCACGGGGATCCTAGGGGCCCAGATCGGGCCGTTTCGCATATTTAATTAGTAGGTAGTAGAGGCTCCTTGCTATAATCGCGTACGGAGTACTTCGTACCTTAGTAGCATATACCTTATAGGGTAGTAAGGAAGCCCTGGCCTCCATTTAAAACTATTATCATTGGCGAAAGCTAGGGGCCGTGAGGCTACTGGTGATCTGAAGCCAGGCACTTACAGAAACACGATGGTTGGATTAGATGAAGAAGGAGCTTAGTACATATCTTCCAGATCCATATATATAACGAGGTCTAGGACTATAAGGTTCCTTTTAAAGTATTTCGGAATCTGCAATATCCAGGATTCTGTCTGCAACCGCAGTGGATCTCCCTAGTTAACTAGTTAGATGACTTAGCAGAAACCACACCACACCATAAGCGCCGCATCTGACCAACGACCGGTACAGAAAGTGGTAAATACCTGTAACATAATAACGAGTTAACTCACCCGAAGAGAGGGCTTCACAGCCGACCAAGCACCAGAAGTCTTCCCCCTTGCCCTGTGAACTCACAGCCAGAACTGCACCGGCCACTGCTTCTCCTTTCATGATCATCCTTAATATCATCTCCTTGTTGGCGACGTTTGGACTTTATGACCATGTCTGAGCGTCTGACTTCGACACATAGCCTGGCAACAGTTGGGCTAGAGAATCTATCTCCAGAGCACTTCGAGGTTTTGCAACAGGGTTTCTGGACAATCCTTTTTACCGATCTAGCCACAGAGACATTTGCCCAAGTCGTTGACGGCCGTCCCACGCGTGACGTCTATCGAGACTATTTCAACGAGTTTCGCAAAAGCTTCGAGAATAACATTCATCCAAGCAATGCAGCCTTAGAGGCTGTCGAATCTTACCGTCGAAATCTAAACCTTGGTAGTACTCAGATCAGTGCAAAGGTAGTATAACCATTATATTCATGGCCTCAAAGCTCTACCTCGGAGGACAAGTACTAAAAGCTCGTGAGTAGCTTGCACAAGCACTCCAAAACGCCAAACCTGGATCAAGAGAATTCCACCTGCGTCTGATTGAGACTCTTGCTGTCCTCTGTCATGGCATCGCTGTCCACCTGTACCAAGCCTACGATGGAGGCTTCTATAAGCCAGAGCCCCCCGACCCTATCACATGGCACGAGGAACTCGTCCCTAATATGCCGCCGCCACCGCCCCGTAAAGCTTTACCGGCGGAGCTTTACCATTTCTCTTACGGCTCCTGGAGCCAATACCCAAATGGAGTTGCCGACATTGTTGGTTACTGGGCGGAGTACCGTCTGTTTGGGGGGGTTGTTCTGTTTGATCGTGGGGAGACCGGGTTTGAAGTAAGAAGACACTCCTGTATTTCTCTTGCAAGATCCTTCAATCACTAACTCTTAATCATTTTCCCACCCTAGTGCAAGGATATCTTTATTCACCCTGTGGGCAGGTATATGATCTTTCAACTCTCAGAAACCCAGGTGCAGGCCTATATTAGCTTTCTACAGGGCGGACCACAGCCTCCATGTGGCATTCGCTTTAAGGCTGAAGAATATGCACGTCGTGTTGATAAAAACTATGCTATGGATATGAATATTTATCGTGATAGATATGAACGGATTATACCTAAGCGGCGGGCACGCTGTATTATTCGCGGTGAGGACCTCCCAGGACATGCGCAGGCTATGGAAGATTGGGCCAGGCGAACGGGAAATAGTTAGGGATGGTAGAAATTATTTTGTCAAGCCGCAGGCTGCAGCGAGAGCAACTAGCTACTGATGGGTTCGTAAATATGCTATCAATTCATTATCACATTACTCGGAAACCCTGTTCCAAAAGCAACCAAAATACAGGATAGGAATATCTGAAGTGGTAAAAATAACGGTGGGGCCGGAAGACATAACGCTACCTAGGACTAGAAAAAAAGAAATATTACAGCCGTGAGTCAGTCACAGCCATAAAACCAAACTTGGGTATGCTTTTTGATAGCTAAATATTCATACGCCTCTTTCAGTGACTGTCCAGCGTCTCTTTGAGACAGGCTCGCGACTCCTCAAACTCCAGAGGCCATGCTGCGATCTCGCGCGTTGAGGCGCACCATCCGATGTACTACTATTGCGAGAGGTTGTAGGGTTAGATGCATCCCCTACGCCTCTTGAAATAGAAGATCCTTCGAAGTCGGGCATTATATCGTCGACAGGCACGTTGGCAGGGGAGGAAGAACCCCACAAACCTGGAGCAGCGTGTTTATCAACAGAAAACGATCGTGACAGATTGTGTAGCCCTCTGGTGGTGCCATTGAAGCTAGAACTGCGCGACGGTCCAATAGAGAATCCATTATCTGGTGAATCTGGAACAGACGATAAAGATGTAAACCGGTGCCTATACGATGATATAGAGCTAGGAAACCCCCTAGGGGACGGTGACTGCGCCGAGTTGTTATTGCTGACGCGAAGGTGATCTGTTGAGTTTACCAACTTTACTTGGTATTCTTCGGATACCTCACTTGGACTCGGCTTCCTTTGTATTTGCTGGGCGGCCACCACGTTATCCGCCGTAGTGCCCTTGTGAGTGGCGAGAGTCAAGGAAGCCATTCCAACATCCAGGAGGGCGGGCCGGTTTGTCAAGGCACCAATAATGGCATTGCATCCGGCGCCGTGTGTAACAATTATGAGGACTGTATCGCTGTCATCATCTTCTGTTGTGTCTGCCGTGGCGGGTGCATCATTTGATACAAGTTGGCATTCCTCCCGGTGGGACAACCTCCGTTTACTCTTGTTGCAGTCTGCAGTCTTGTACCAGGTAATCATTCTTTCGAGCCCAGCGCGGAATCTGCGATGCATGGAACTCCACTCCTCTCCGTACTCCCCACCGCTGCCCCAGTCAAGAGGGCTCTTCATGCTGTCCCATTGATAGTCCACGTCAACACAAGCATCCCTCGCATGTGCTACATACCCCGCGGGTATGGGATCTGAGGGGGAAATGGCATAAGTGGGCGTTGGAGAGATATATTCGGTGTCATCATGTGGCTGAGAAGAAACAGTCGAGAGTTTCGGTAAGCCCTGAATGCTGGTGGCTCTATCAGTTGAAGAGCTTCGAGTGTCCATATTTCCCCCAAAGGCATGCGCGGACACAGGTGGTGGAGTATTCTCGGCTTTCCCCTCAGCGGTATTATTGGCAGAGGCGAATCCGTTCCAGCCTCCGGGGAAGTTTCCACGTGCCGACCGAGTAGTCGCACTGGAAGGCAGGGAGTCCTCCTCCCGAAGTAAGCTTGCCTTTGCACCAGCCAGCATCATGACAGATCCTGGCGGCGGGGTTATTTGATCGAAATAATCCGGAGTAAGCCATTCACCCAGCCAAGCGTCCAGGCGCAGCAAACATTGCTTCTCATGCGACAGGTTTGTCCTTGGCCTTTGGGCGTTTGCTTCACCAGCTAGCTCCTGAGGCTCCTGGATAGCAGTTAACTGGGGTGAACCCTGACGTTGCGGCCGTGGAGAAGAGGAACGCCAGCGGTGGTGGCTCGATAGAGGAGGAGTTCCAGGTTGAGGTCGCTGGTGAGGTGAGGGGTCCGCTGATGCACGCTTTGACTGGCTGATTCCCGCACTGAGTGATATTCCCGTCTGTACACAGCGTAAAAATGGAGATGAGTGGATGATGATTCGATGCTTCCGCCGCTCTTGTTCTGGCAGGGCAGCGGTAGGCGGGCTTTGAATAGTATGATGGCTGCTCTCCTGCGAAGCATCAGAGGACGATAAAGTGGAAGGAAGACACCCATAAAGTTCGCGGTAGTGTAGGAGGGATCCAATGCGGACCCCAAGGGCCTGGGACTGCTTCCAGCCGCCGTATGTCAGAGGGGGGTCGTAGGGCGTGGGCGAGGTAAGATGCCACTGTTTATCAGCCGCATCCAGTCGAGCCCCATGTCTGGAGCCGTTAGGTTAGTTATACACGCTCGTCAAAGAGAGGTAGAGAAATATTATAGCCTTACCTGACGACAATGATGATGCTTGGCGGCTTCCCCATGATTGTTCGCCGGCCGTCTTGCTTGTTCAGCTGGAGAGCGGGATAGCAGGCTGGTCGGCGGTTGGAGGGTAGAAATGAAAGACGGAAGAGACAAATTAGGCGGAAGTCGAGGCAAATAAAATTTCAACGACTGGCTTTGCGAGTGTCGAGTAGGTATCCGTGAAGTGCTTGCATGGCTGTTTTATTGGGTTCAGTGTTTGGCGGTCGATGTAACTAACTGCGCAGCGGGTTGGTTGTTCAAGGGCGCCGTTTGACAGGACGACAAGCCCGGACATCACACAGCGAGGAGAACGGCGCATAGCATGCAACGGACGGTCGCCATCACGACACAGCCAGAGCTTCTGGCGAGCAAGAGGGGGCAAACAAATATACTCCCTTTATTCGTGGCTCTTCTTCTTCCTTCTTCCGTCTGCCGTCTTCGTCTTCGTCGTTTTCGTTCGTTTTTCTTGGAGTCGTTAAAAAGCATGTGATCTCTCTGTCACGTGATAATCCATGATGACTCAGCTAGTTAACTGCTTATGTCATCTTCCATCTTCTTCGCGACTTCGACTTTCTTTGTCGACTTCATCTTCTTTATCGCCGGATTTCACTCCTGTTGCTGTGACTTCTCGCTAGCAAACTATGCCATGTTCCTCCATTATTGCTTTTGGCAGCCTCTCTCAGCACTCGATAGATATGCCTCGGGTTACTCGCGGCATCTCCTTTGCTCGGCAGCCCTTCCGTCATCCAATACAGAGGACAGTCTCCTTGTGACAAATGCCTAGGTGATTATTTTATATGGCGATTGCTGCGGCCTTGGATATTGGCTCGATCGCAAGCAGTCGTGCAAAAGCCCTCCGGGATGGCCACAAGCTCTCTGTTTTGTGACAAATTTTTTTAGGGTATACTCCGTATGCACGGAGGAACCCTCCCAAGTGATTTGATGTGTATGTACCCATATACAACTCTTAATTCTTCACCAAAAGACTCCTGATTCTGAAACTAAACCAAAATCATAAAACCGCGACTAATAATTGACTAGGGTCGTAGTTTGTTACAGGGAGGAATGATTTTTTTTTTTTTTTTTCAGATCTGTAAAATGTGAGTCCATTTGACTTTCGCCTTGCTATGTGAGCCATTCATAAAAGTGCATCTAGCTCCAAGGATCTACTTTCGAGCCCTGGAGTTTGCTCCAGCTGAAAATCAGAAAACAAATGCTTATCATGAAATCAGAGATACTATGTACTGTTATTATGGGCATTGGCTTTATCGCCAACTCCGCGAGCATCTCAAAACCGTGGGTGGTACGGAGTATCAAAGAGTGTTCTGTAGGGGAAGCCGCTGCGGTCTCAACCAGGCTGACACACAAACCTCGTACTCTGTAACCAGCTGACTACCGACTTGCCTGGCCGAGAGCCGAACGAAGCCAGGGACCAGGTTTTGCATACCCACACTAGCACTCTCTCCCTTTCCTTGCTGCCCATTCGCTCACTCCCCACCCCATTCATCCTCCGTACAGCTGCTGTCTCTCTCGCACGATAGTTACCTATGGCTTTCCCCAGGGTATACTCTCAATAAGAGACCACAGCGACGTCTTCCCCGCACACTTTCCTGGCTCATAAAAGGCCCCAAATGTGGCTCCTCTAATCCCGCAATACTGGGTCCAAGTCTCCATCTCCGCAAGCCTCGCCTACTCTCGGGACCCGCTAACTAGCAAGGGGTGGGTTCCCCGGGGCGTCCTGTAGGATGACGGCCTCAAGGACAACGAGATGATGGTGTTCTGCGAAGTAACTAGCTCGACCCGACAGCCAGATGTGGTCGCTTGTTTTTCTCTGGCGGCTAACTAACTAGCGAATGAGTTAAGCGATCGCTTGGCGGGCTGATCGATGATCGCTATGCCGATGCTGTGGTCGTTTCCGTGAATATCATGACTATCATCATGAACATCAATACCCCTTGCTTCCGGCTTCTCAACCAGCCCAAGGCGCCAAGTAGACCCTGTCATATGCTTGTTTCAACGTTCCCGCTTCTTCCGCACTCGGCAGAGCGGGCCATGGTCATGGCATGGACACTTTCGTTCTTTCTGTCTGAACCCTCTCCCATGCCTGTTGTGAGGCAGGCTGTCTAGGTCCTGGGAGTCTGTCTTCCGCCCCCACCCAAACGCCCAGTGTAGCCGGTCCGATGCAACCCTAAACTATCTCCTGAAGGCCTCCAGGTAAACGAGCTAATCAAGCTGTTCGAGATGGTGTTTCTTTCCTTTCCCTTGTCACCAGGGTCAAGCTGGTCATGGCTAAAGATTTTGCGGGAGCATCAATCTTGCGCCGAGATTATCCCCAGCCGAGGGAGACACCCTATGTCACCTGTGATACCTATATATAAAGCATGCGGAACGCTCTTTCTCTGGATGAGGGAAAACCAAAATCAGCAGATATCAACATCAACAAGAGGCATCTCCGTCCATCTCTGTCTCCTACCCAAAGACCTGTCGTACCATAGCCGTTTTTTTCCTCTCTTATCTTTCTACGATGCAATTAGTTGCTGTACTTGCTGCTCTGGGTGCCCTGGTGGCCCCAGCTGTGGCTTATCCCCATGCTCCCATGAACGAGACTCTCGTCGATGTCCAGCTTATTGCTGTTGGAAACACAATGGTCAAAGCTACCATCACAAACAAGGGTGACTCCGTGTTGAACATGCTCAAGTTCAACACCATCATGGACGAGAATCCTACCCGCAAAGTCATGGTTTTCCAGGACGGTTTGTCGCCTGATTTTTCTATATTCATTCCAAATTCACTAAATGTTTTACAGGTGCCGAGGTTCCCTTCACTGGAATGATGCCACGATACCTCATGAGCGACCTCACCGAGGAGTTCTTTACCACCCTTGCTCCCCAGGCAAGCGTTGAGCATTCCTTCGATATCGCTACCACCCACGATCTCAGCGCCGGTGGAAGATATGTTATCAGTGCCAGCGGCGCCATTCCAACTGCCGAGGAGTATAGCACCACCATCACTTCCACTGCTCTGTACGAGTCCAACGAGCTCCATATGGAGATTGATGGGACCGAAGCTGCCGCTGTCGAGCAGGCGATGAAGTTCACCCCTGAGATGCAGTCTATTCACGCCCGAGCTTTGCAGAAGCGCACCAGGATCGTTGGCGGGTCTTGCAACCAGAACACTCTCCGTGCCACTCAGAATGCCCTTGGAAACTCTGCCCGTCTTGCCCAAGCTGCCTCTCGTGCTGCCTCACAGAATGCTGCCAAATTCCAGGAGTACTTCCGCACCAACGATGCTAACGCTAAGCAGAGAGTAATTGCCCGCCTCAACTCTGTTGCCCGCGAATCTAGCTCTGCTAACGGCGGCTCTACAACATACTACTGCTCTGATACCATGGGTGGCTGCAAACCCCGTGTCCTTGCCTACACCCTGCCATCACGCAACCTTGTTGTCAACTGCCCAATCTACTATAACTTACCCCCGCTCACAAGGCAGTGCCATGCTCAGGATCAGGCCACCACGACCCTCCATGAGTTCACTCACAACCCAGCCGTTGCGAGCCCACACTGCCAGGATTACGCCTATGGCTACCAGCAGTGTATCTCCCTCCCAGCTGCCAGGGCCGTCCAGAACGCCGATAACTACGCCCTATTTGCCAACGGTATGTTTTATAGTCTCTTCACAATTTATATTTTAGTATATTTACCCGTGGCTAACATTATGATGTCTATAGCTATTTACGTCAACTGCTAAGCGATATCCCACGTTCTTTGCTACCGCTTGAAGTGACTTTTGTGAGTGTGATGAATCCCATTGTACATAGTAATCACTACGCTTCACTTTACATACTTCTTTCTCAGAGTGGTTGAGTAGACATACTTGCTTATTTACTAGCCTACTCATCAATAAAGTTTACTACTTTACATTCAACTTCCTGGTCACTTCGTAATACATATTCTAGAGCCTATGCATCGCTAGCCGGGTTTATATCCATCCCTCGAGGCAATTTCCGTAGCCAAATTGCTTAAGGCTAGCTGCCCATATGTTCAACAGGAAAGGCTGAATTGCCTCATACTGAACAGCCCGGTCTCCCTTTTTGCAGAACTCTTCGAAATTACTCCAGTAGATGTTGAAAGCCTCTTCGTCTCCAGAAGGGTTAGAAAAGTCGACGGACAATTCGTAAAATTGATCTTTCTTAGTGGTTTCGTTATGGCGGAACTCGCTCCACGACAACCGGCGTCGAGAGGGCTGCCATATAATTCTTCCGTTGAACTTATTGCGGCCGTGGTGTTTCATTCTATAAACTTTTAGTTAATCATAGGGTATATGTCGCTGGTAGGTGTTCATACCGAAATAAACAAAGAAAGGTACTCTCATCACAGAGTTGGAGGATACAATGGTGTATTGCCTCTATGTAACCCGATAAGGGTTTGAACGGAATGAAGCCTTTGGTCTTACTACTCTAATATGTATTAGAAGAGATAGAATGGAAAATAGGATACACCATACATACCTTGAAGAAAAGAGTATTTGACGACGCATCAAGTTTCCATGATCCTGAGTTACCAGAGACAGGATTTTCATTCTTTGTTTGAAGTAGCTTTCTTGCACTGGAATCAATGATGATCCCCGTAGACGTAAAGCACGCTCTGTGATGTTCTTCAAGTTCAACAAAGTGGAATATCGTACTGGGATCATCATCCTTCATACGAGAGGCGACATGAATAGAAAAGGATGTGCATCTTCCTGTCCCACCTTTCCAGAGAGGGCGTAAATCTATTTCTGGCGTGTTTTCAAGTACCACCCTCATTTGTTCTCTGCTGATAGATACATTTCCCGTGATAAATGTATCAAGTTCAATATTAAGGTTATTTAAAATATACTCAAGCATAGTGAACGATGTAAAACATGAATTCTCCCATGTTTTCTCGTAATGCAAAGACATTTCTAAGACCTCAGCTTCAAAACTAGGCTAGCCCTGAATAGCCGGAACGAAGGAGGAGGTAATGCGGAAACTTCGAATCTTTTTTTGTTTTTTTTTTTTATTGCAGTCGTTCTGTGATAACAAAGCTCGGATTATGGACTCCAGACGTATTCTTAAGGTAACGATCATGAACGCGTAGGAAAGTGCGCTAACATGGAAAGCGGACCACGAGATCAAAACATCACGTGAACCAAGCAGGTATGCCCATGGTAGAAGTCTCACTTTTATATGACTTAGGCCTTTGGCTTGTCACTGTCCTTCTCATTTGTGTAATAGGGGGCGTCCTCGTCCGTGTCGAAGGGTATTGGTTCGCCGCCTATAGCTGTTGTCAGAAGAAAACAGTAAAAAACAGCAGTATATAAAACACTTACCTTGTAGCCCACACTTCCGTGCCATTGCTGAGATTTCCTCCGGGGTACTATTCTTCACGAATTTTAGGAATCGAGCCACACGTTCTTCCGGGCTGTCATGTTGCGCCGCAGGAACAGTAGGAAAAGACTTGTTAGAGGCATTTTCGGGTTTTACAAGAGGCGCCGAGTTGGTCGACGATGCACTTGTGATGTCTGTCAAAGCCGGAGAGCTGGCTGTTGATATACTTGAATGGTCGGCTATTGTGTTGGCGTCCGCGGCCTTTGCTGGAGGAGGGCCCATGGTCGACGCCGCCCGATCGTGGTGGGACATTTTCGTATAGCTGCAACGAACGGTTTTGATAGATCTATGTTGCTCGGATGTCCGATAAACCACAGCTAAATGGAAGAATGCTGTTATTGACTGACTCACAGCCTACAACAGATAACTATGTATAATCAGAGAGGGTGGGTGGGAATAAGATAGAAGGCGCTTTGAATCGCTACATATACCCGGCTGGATTAGTCAATGACGTAGTAGTCAGATTAGTCATCCACTAGTCAAATATCAACTAACTTTTGCAACAAATAGGGGTATAGAAACACCACCACACCAACAATTTGATATAATAGATGAAGTGAGTCCTCTCTATACAAAATTTAGCTAGATATTGCTGTAAATACGCAAATAACAACATGCAAACAGACACCTAACGGGCGTTATGCTACATTCTAGGTATTTGCAGTTCAGTAACTGAGGTCAAACTGAAACATCAACATTTGAGCCACATGGGAAGCGTTGCCCATAGGCGCCGTAGATGGCGCACCACAAGGGAGGCTGAAAACGGCCCCGACAGCTTGTTCCAGACAGGTCCTCGCCTCATGTTCGACATATTCGGGAACTTGAGAAGAATTCGTCAGCGCGTCGCAACGGCCGTTAGTTAGCATGAGCAAAGCAGCCCATTCATGCAGACAGCGCAGGTAGAAAGCAGTAAGGACATACATGCTCCTATCCGTGGTAGTCACCATTTCTGGGTTTCTCTGTACCTAATGCCTGGTTGTTGTCCCTAGAGCTGAGCTTCATCTATATTGTTCAAATTGGAAGCATCCAACGCGGTCTCTGCGAATAGTTAACGTTATTAATAAGCAGCTGTATTCCCGGATTACTCATGGCCACGTGAGAAATAACAAAATACCGACCAATGAAAGGGCCCGTGTTTCAAAGCTTGTACCACGTGTTTTTTGGTGATCGCGCAAACCAAAGCAGGTTTTATCGCAAGGACTCGATTGAATGAACCGCCAACGGCCAGCTATTATTACCTTACCATTATATGAGCTGGGTACGTCGAGTAGTCAAGATGGCGGAAGAAACTGGTGCAAAGCGACTCAAGTCGCCGCCGCTGATCGGCACACACAAGTGAGTCCCCATTGCTAACCATTGTCAGAGCAAACTAACAACGGTTGGTCTCGCCAGCGGTCACTTCCATGCCGATGAAGCGCTTGCTGTTTATCTCCTCCGCCTGCTACCGGCCTACTCCACCTCTCCCGTCATTCGAACACGCGACCCGGGTCAATTAGCTACCTGTCATACTGTTGTTGATGTGGGAGGGGTGTACGACCCCTCGCAAAATCGATATGACCACCATCAACGAACTTTTGATACAACGTTCCCTCAGCACCAAACCAAATTGTCTTCTGCCGGGTTAGTATATATGCATTTTGGTAAAGCAATAATAGCCCAGCATATGGGCCTCTCTACCGAGCACCAGGACGTCAGCACCATTTACGAGAAGCTTTACGCAGATTTCATTGAAGCGCTCGATGCTCACGATAACGGAATTTCCGTTTATTGTCCCAAGGCTATCTCCAATGCCGGTATGGAGAAACGATTCCGAGACGGTGGAATAAACCTGGGTTCGTTGATTGGTGATATGAACCTTTGTGGACCAGGCGAGAACCTTGACGAAGACGCTCTTTTCGCTAGAGCCAGTACCTTCATCGGAGAGGCTTTCTCGAGGAAGCTTCATGCTGCCAGTAGCAAGTGGTTGCCCGCTCGAGCCACAGTTGCACAGGCTCACCAGTCTCGCATGGATGTCCATCCGTCGGGAAAGATAATGCTTCTTGAGAATTCTGGAATTCCATGGAAGGAACATTTGTATCGTCTGGAAGAAGAGGCCGGCAACGTAACCGCAGGAACTGCGGACAATAAAGTCTTCTATGTCATATATCCAGAATCAACCGCTGAGAAATCCAACTGGCGCGTTCAATGCGTTCCCGTTAGTGAGAACAGTTTCGAGTCTAGAAAACCACTGCCCGAGTCATGGCGGGGTGCGCGGGACTCAGAACTTGACAGTATTATATCCAAGGAGATGGAAGAAAAGCAACGAGAAAGGATACCCGAGGGTGCTATTTTTGTCCATGCCAGCGGATTTATTGGCGGACACAAGAACAAGGCAGGAGCTCTGGCTATGGCTGCGGAAAGCCTTCACTAGGTTATTTCAACTATCCGCCTTAGCAGGATTTGTGATCATTGCTGTCTTAACTAACGTAAAAAGCTAATGCCAATGATATCGACTTCTGTACCCTCATTATAGCCACAGACAGGCTTTGGTAACCTATATTTTGATCCTCATTTCTTTATCGAGTGACCTGCACTACCATGTCTATAATATCCAAACCGAAATCCAAGAGGATAAAACTGCATAAATAGCTCAAAAAAGTGCTTAAATCATGCAGGATAATTATACTTACTAGGATATCAATTCATACAGATGATCCTACCATCTACCACAGGAGCTATGGCACGGGTCCATGGCGGTAAATGGTCCTTGCCACCTTGCTCAACGGTCTTAACCCGGTTTGGATCAACTCCCAGCTTTTTCCGCCATTTTCGGAGAACTCTTCGGGCGACTAGTTCTCTGTGATCGGCATCATCTGGAGACAGGGCATGGGATGTGACATAATTACGGGGTCGGAAGAGGGATTCTGAGTGGGAGTCAGACTCGGAGTCCAGGGGTGTGTCAGCCCCTATTCGGCTCAGAGTGGCAGCACCAGGCTGCTGATGGACCGGCGCAGCCGTCATTACTGGGCTGGCCCCCTGGGTAGCTCCCGGCTTGGATATATAACGGAAGCTCGTTTCAGGGAGAATATTAGTTGGAGGAGATGTGCTGCTGCTGGCTGGAGGAGTCAGCTCCTCTGATTTGAGCTTCTTATGGACATCCATCCAGTGCCGGTCCAGACTAGGACTGAGACGATTCCATTTCCCTATAATCTTATTACTTAGGAAGTACTGCCGGAGCATGGTGCTGAGAAGGAGACCATCTTCTTCGGACACAACCTCCTCCGCTTCGCCGCCCTCACTCCTGGTGAGTAGTGAGGCGAATCCATCCTTCCCCCTGGCCATGTAGCCTCTCGTTGATACGGTGTAAAGTCCGTCATCTCGGAGATCCTCATTGTTTAGTTTTACCCATAGGATACGGGAGCCAGGTGGTTTGGACATGGAAAAGGCAAACTTAATATTTGATACCTGGGGGAACCGCCCTTCAAGAGCAGGCAGCTCGCTAACGCCATTCTCCAGTGCCAGCCAAAGGGCCTTGCCCGTAATGCGGAGAACTACCACAGGGTCTTCGAAAGGAAAACAATTGAGGATGTCTTTCACTCTGAGAATCCCAGGAGGGTATATTTGGTCCCCTCGAATGGTCCCAGCAGCCATGATTGCACAGTCCGTATTATGATAACATCGCATCACGTCACATACGAAATTTCCTAGGTTCGATTCTTGGGTGCGGACCGTAATGAACCGACCATCTAGAGGGGTAACTGTGTATCCGATAGGCTTATGAAGCTTCCCCTTGAGGGCTGATGTGAGCTTGTCTACAAGCTTAACAGTCTCGAGGTGTTTCGGAAGATCGCGTGTGATGTCTCGCCGGATGATGTTGAAATCCCAGCCGGAACCAGACTGTTTCCTCCAGGCTTCTATGTAGCTAAGCTGCTTGAAGTCTGTTCCGGAACGCAAAACGTGCGTAGAGTTAATAAAACTGTGACTGTAATAATGATCATGGCCGCCTAGAATGATATCCACCAAGCCAGGAGGGATTTTTTCCGCGAGTTTGTTATCGTTTGGCTCTCTCTGATGAGTGACGGCGATGACTATGTCTGCGCCTTGTTCACGGAGGGCGGGGACCAGCTCTTTCGCTGTTTCTGACGCAGACTTGTATATGAGATTCGGAGGGAGATAGTTGATAGTAGCAAGCCTATTCGTTACCCTCCATCAGCAGGTTGCCTCTGGCAAAATACAGGGAGATCCAGCGTACCATTCCCTTTCGCCCAAGCCTATGACTCCAACTTTTATTCCGTTTGAAGAGACGAGCATGCAAGTCTTCTGGCAGTTTGCCAGGGGCTCACCCTCGCCCAGGGCCGGGTCAAGCACGTTTGCGAGCAGCCATGGAAACTTGCATTGAGATCTCAGGTGCCTGAACTGTGCAATTCCAAAGTCTAGATCATGGTTCTATCGATATCCACGGACCGTTTAGCAATCGCGATCCAACTGTCATGGAAGAACGTAACTAGTTATAATATATATTGTAGACGGAACGTACACCAACACACGCAACATCTGTCCCCACATGATTAAGAAACGGGACCATGTGCTGGCCCTTCGTGATAGTGCTCTCAAGACTCGGGTTGAAAGCGTCTCCAGAAAAGAAGGTGAGGATTGAGGGCTGTCCAGAGAAGCTGGGATCGGATCGATAATGGTTCACGAGGGTCTGAAACCGCGGGGCACCACCACAGGGATCTGACGAGGAGGCTCTGGGCAAGTTGTCAGTAGAGGATCAAATAGATATTTTCTCTCAGCAAAGGAAGCGCCAACTGTAGATCTCACTCAACATGGTAGACGTCGTTGTAGTGCAGGAGCCGCAGGTCGGGAGTACCTCGTCGCCCGCTGTCAAAGGTCGAGGTACCCCCGCTGGCCACTGTCTGCGGCGAATCCCTGGTGTCCTCTGGCATCTCTTCCGTATGTCCCCTTCCTTACTCCGTATATGATCGGCCGCTCGCTGGATATATTTCCTGTGAGAATGAGTTGTCTCCTGGGCTTCGACGTCGCTGTCCCGTGTTGCTGGGCGTCAGTCAATTGGACCTTAACTTAAGTTAGTTAATTAGTTACCTAATTAACTAATTAAATAACCAACTAATTAACTACTTTTAACTAGTTAACTTAGTTTAATTAATGAAAACGGCGCTGCCATGACGTCACCCTTTTCAAAATTTACACACATAACTTATCATCGACCAATGTTCTACATTTTTCAAAACCGTCTTACATCCAGTATCATGATTCTTATAATATACCTATCTCTGAAATATAACTTCTCGAAGATTTACTAGATATAGGAGTAAATATACCCTATGAACAGAATATCTAATATAGCCATGCGGTGCTCGTCCGCCCTGATCCGTCAGATGTACTGGCGGCCTTCTTATCTTGGGGGCCAGCAGCTAAGGAGATGTTATAGGATACCATCAGAGACGACTACAACGCCCCGCCCTATAGCAACAGACTTGTCTATACTCAAGGCCGCAGCTACTTCGGTTTTATCACAAGAAACTCCGCGAGTAAGATGGGCAGGGGTATTTGGTGACTTCGCTGTGGGAGCAGAGAATGATTACAGTGTGGTGGATGTAATTATTCTCTACGACTCTGACAAAGTTGGCCACAACAGATGGCCCCCACAATTACGGGACTTGGATAAGATTCTGCCTGTAGCTTGGGGTCGAAATGCTGTAGTTGAGGAGTTAACTATAAAGAAGGTGCCTCACTTTTGGTGTATCGTTCAATTTTTACAGTCTAGGGTAATTTTTGGATCGGATGATGACCCTATAGTTATGCAAGTACGTCAGGAATGGCTTGATATTTTGGTAAATGGGGCGATGCATTTTAAATCTCTTATACGTGATATAAACGATATCACTACCACTATTCAGGGAAAGTCTCCAGAGGTATAACCAGTTTCTCCTATGATCTACAATTTTGATATACTAATTGACTACCTAGAAATTGTGTTCAGACTCTCGGCTCCGTCAGACGGTTTTAGAACGTATCATGGCCGTGCTCGATACAATCGATAGAGACCTTGTTAATGAGTGTTCATCCAGTCCTTTCAAAGAACTACTTCAGTTCGACGGGCAACGTGACTACGACCTTATTCAAGACAGGATGAAGAGAATTATAAAGGGTAATCAGACCCAATCGAAGCATAGTGTTGACCAGTCAGATCAGTTATGTAGATCTCTCTGGAGACTGGCCACAGCTTCGGGTAGAGGGACGTTGGATAGACTAGGCAAATGGATCGAGATGCATGTGATAGCAGGCATCGAAGAAGCAGTTGAGCAGCGTGGGCACGTTCAATCACTAACACCGAAAGAGAGAATACACGTTGAGTACTATTATTATGCTTAGGTATATGGGTGAGCTTTCCTCTGCATCCACTACTTGTTAATATCTAACTAGACAGGGCATTATAGTTATCTGGTATCGAAACCTGCCTTGTAGCTGTATGTACATCGCAAGAGCACAGGTATGCCATAACTGTAGCTCAGTAGCTACGGTGATAACCTGCGAAAAGTCATTACAGGCAGCGAGAAAGGGTTCTCCAGCCCATGCAACAGCCTGCTGGCCCGAGAGTTTGACGGGTCTCTCGTGAGATGAATGAAGAGCAGGGAAGACGTGCTAGAGTCAACCATTCAGCATATTACCAGAAAATATCGCGATAGATGAGCAACAGCCGGGTAACTCATGAGCCCCGGTTTCGATGTGGACATAACTCGTCTGCTAAGCTGCATTCTGCCAGACATGGGCATCGCTGCCGCAGCCTTATCGTGGCTACCGGAGTTTCTTGCAGTTTTGACTGGTTGGAACCCATGCTCGCTGCGGACAAGTTTCGCTTCTCTATCTTGGTAAAATGAAAGTATCCTGGGCTGTCCATGCATGTAAATGTATGGCACAGTACGCGGGCGAGGCGAGATGTATACGTATATCCGGGGAAGAATCCAGAGAGCCGGGCGGGAGATGACTAATCCCGAATAAGAAAAGAAAGGGAGTGAAGAAGCAATGTCAGGGAAGACAAGAGAAAGGATGATTGATGATCATAAAATCAGCGGTGAAATACCTAGAAGGCAGGGTGATCAACTGGGTGGACATCCCGTTTATTAACTAGTAAGAAAACTGGGGGATGCTGTAGCCTCTTCCAAAAGACAAGAAAAATACTTTATATATCAGAATACCAAAAACTACCAACATTAACCAGGGGGCATAATAGGCGTAAGTGAAGTATAGCCAGCTTATCGTCTGTCAAAGAACCAGCTGGTACGTTTTGGGCCGGCATTTGTCGAGGAATCCTGTGCCTGGACACCGGACAGGGTGGAATTGGATGGTGCGTCCGCACCACCGCCACCACGAAGCGGTTTCGCTATCCTCGAGCCTCCAAAACCGAAACCAGCAGAGTCGGAGGAAAGGCCTTTGGTAGAGCCAGCTTTGGCGGCTTCCAGGCGTTCCTTAACGGCTGTGAGCTGCGCTTCGAACCTGTGGGTAGAGGAAGAGAAGGATAGGTTAGCTTCTTTGGTCACGATGTAATTGTGATATTGATTTAAAACACACCTGTGGTTGGCAGCCGTTAGCTTTTCCTGGCTTTCCTGGAGAAGGGTCTCCAGGCTCTCGATTCGTTCATTTCTGGCTATCAACTTCCGCTCGGCAATGGCGACCTCCCGCTTGAGGCTGCCGTTCTGTTCCACCAGTTGGCGTTGTACATGGGTCAACTGCTCGAGATTGCGCTCCAAAAATGCCATCTTCTTCTGCTGGGCACGGTTGTTGGACGACTGCAGGACTTGTTTGTACTGCTCACGGGTCTCATCTAGCGATATTTCAAGTTCAACTACCCGTTCACACCGGTTCTGCAAGTCGCGCATAAGAGATTTCTTCATGATGTCAAAATCAGCAATCTGCTGCTGCAGGGTCTTGCTGTTGATGGTCGCACTTCCTCCTGCACTGGCAGAGGATCCATTGGGCTGAGAGCGCGCTGTAGAGTCGGCGACAGACTGTCTCAGGCGGGTAAGCTCTTCATCTCTGAGATAGAGCTCACGTCTGAGATGCTCCACGGCCATCTTCTCCAGCTCGTTGCCTTCAGAGTATGCCTGGCTGAGTTTTTCCTTGATTTCTGAGATATCCGCCTCCCCAAGATTCTGTTCGAGAAGATCGTCGACTTCTTGCTGAAGCGCAGCTATCTTATCTAACAGCTTTCCGTCAAAAGCCCCGTTGAAGCCTTCTTCACGGCTGGTCATGGCGAGCTCAGCTTGTCTGATTACCCCCTGGGCTTCCACCAAGCTTCCCCGTAACTCAACAAACTCCTCTGGGGAGACCGCTTCGCCTGCAGAGCTGGTTGCATGCAGACTGTCTACACGCTCGATCAAGTTCCTTATCTTGCGCTCGTTCTCGGAGAACACGTCCACCTTCATGTCAAACCCGGCCATCATCTTAGCCATCCGTTCTGCCTTCTTTTTGTCTTTCTCGTCCAAGGCTGCGCTCGTCTCCTTGGCACGCATGCGCACGTCAAGAAGCTGTTGCTTGAGGTCGTCCAGTTCAGCTGTAAGCTCGGAGTTGGCTTCCTTCAGGGTATCCATGGTGATGGCTTGCTCCTTGCTTTCATATGATACTTTCTCCAGCTGCATGCGCAGCTCGTTGACCTCCGCGTTCAGTTTCTCGTTGTCTTTACCGGTTCGGACAGCATTCTCCTTGAGTATCTTAAGCTCCTCCTTTTTCTCTTGGACTTCCTTCTCTGCGTTGGCGATGTACGTTTCCTTTTCTGCGAGCTGATCCTGCAGTTCGTTCTCTCGCCTCAAAAATTCCTCCCGCTCGTCTCGTTCCAGGACAATACTTGGTGTGCTAGATCGTTCTCCAAATCTCGATTCTGGCCGGCTTGGGGTCTCTGATCGAGACATATCAGACTGCAGTCGGGATGGAGTTCCTGGACGGGGAGTACGGGCATCGGCCTTGAGGTTTCCCACCGTATCTGTCGATCGCAAGGTGGTCCATTTCTCTTTTGAAAGGTTTTCTCCAGTTCGCCAGACTTGCACTTCGTTCTCTAGAGCAGATATGTAGGTTTCGAAAGTAGTTACCTGGCTCTGAGCCTTCTTGAGAAGGTGCTTGAGCTCTGCTGGACTCAATTCCTGGTTAATCTTCGCCTTGTTCTTGATGGCCTTTGCTCGTCCACCGAATCGAAGAGTGCTAAGCGTTTCCGCATCGTTGTAGCTACTGGGAGAGCAGTTAATTATCAGTGTCGTTCGGGAGTTACCTCCCAGACTTTCTTGCAGAATTCTAGTGAGCTTCGAATCTCGGTATGGAATGTGAGTAGATTTGCCGTCAGTGAGAGCGTTGATGACCATGCCCAGTGCACTCAAACTCTTGTTAATTTTCTTCGCTTCTTCGAGGGTCTGTCCACTGGCGCCGGTTTTGCCCACCTTTTCACTGCCAGCAAGATCGACAAGGAAAAGCTGACCGCTCTTGGCAGATCCAGTCTCGACATTCTTCTGAGTGATGGTGATGACAAATATCGAGTGCGAGCGAGACGATTCCTGATTCATATTCGTTGCCGCAACTGCTCTCGAGGTATCACCCCTTCTCATCACCTCAAACACCTCCTGTACACTGGACACGTATATTTCAAGCAAGCCCTTGACGTAGACGCCCCTTGATTTCTCCTCGTGAACGGGTAGGTTATCGTTTTGCGGCACCAACAAGTCTCTTATCCGTTCCATATATATCTCCATGTAACTGACACGCACGGTGTATTCAATGTTGCCAGGGCTGGTCAGGATGCTGGTGAAGATCTGCTCGACTATACGAGGTATGATTCCCTTGCCATCGGGGTCATCGATGTCGGATCCCATCATCGTGTATGACTTTCCCGCTCCTGTCTGGCCGTACGCAAATACAGTTCCATTGTATCCATTCATAATATCATCAACAGTCGACCTGATCGAGAAATCAAACACATTTGACTGCTTCGAGTTCATGTCAAATATGCGGTCGAAGGTAAAGGAGCTAGATGCCTCTTTTGACTATATCATCAATACCAGTTTGAGTTAGTTTTATGCGTCTGCTGTTCTTTTTCTTCATTCTCTTCTTGTGTCCATCAAACTTCACCGGCAACAAGGAAAACGTACGTTTATTCTGCATGTCTCTTCGGATTCGAACTCCACGATCGGCTCACCTCCATTGGCAATTTCTACTTTGTTCTGCGGCCTAAATCGTGCAACAACTATAGCAATCAAACGGCGCAATAGTTAGCCAGCCTGGGCAAGGAGAGGAGCTATCCGGTGATAAGTCGACCACGTACCCTTGATGGTGTTGAAGCCTCCAGAAGCACCGGAACTATTTGTCACCAGCAAACATGTCTGTTAGTTTCTGAACATAGCCATTATCGGTTTATTCCGACCAACTTACGCCATGGTTTGGGCTCTGTTCGGAGGAAGCGTCCTCGGCCCTTGGGTCAGGAGAGGGGACACCTAGCTTGCGAGATAGTGAGCAAGTCCGCCAGCGGGGAGTTTTAAGGAGTAACAGCTAAAATATGGCCAGAAGACAAGATTCCAAAATGCATCAATAAAAAGTGAGAGTAGTGGGTAGGAGTAATATTTATTTGCTCTATTGTCGTTGTTTTCCGTGCTGGGTGACGAAACTGGCTGAATATTTATTTTCCAGGTTCGAAGCGGCCCAAGGGGTTGGCAGAGCGAGAGGGACCCACGTGAGTTTATCGCCCTTGTCAACACACGCGAACAAGCGCTGCCTTAGGCGCCAGACGACGACCAGGGGCAGGCAGCGCGCTTCGCTCGCGAGCAACCCTTAGTATCGTGGAAGGACATCGCCAGCCATCACCATTACTAAAATGGGGGACATGCAAGGTTAACTCGAGGTACGGGAGGATTTGCCCCTGGCTTAGCTAACTAACTCGCTTGTTGCCCCTGGACCCGAGCCAGATAACCAACAGAGCATGGGTTCCTGACATGATTGGCGCAGCGAGAGGCGGACACACAGTGAGTTAAACGGGAAAGGGGAATATTTTATACACTCGCTTCTAACTAGCTAACTAAGGTCACGGTAAGGTGTATACCACCGATAGATGCAAAGCATGGGGTCAATTCAGGTCTCTCAGTAGCCGTTACTCAACCTTCTCCAGTCTCTGGATAACGATGGCCGTGGCAGCACCGCCTCCGTTGCAAATAGCTGCGAGGCCATACTGGCCTGGCTGCAGCTGGTGGAGAAGAGTAGTAAGGATTCGCGAGCCAGAACTTCCAAGCGCGTGGCCAATGGAGATAGCGCCTCCGACAGGGTTGACACAGGCATTCTCAAGATTCAGGATCTATGGGAGTTAGACAAAGTTAGCCACGGTTAACAGTCAAAAGAGAGAGAATTTGAAGAGTGCGAACGGGATACGAACCTTCTCGTTTGCCTTGATGACGGCAGCAAAGGCCTCGTTGAACTCCCAGACGGAGATCTGGTCCTTAGTTAGGCCTGCCCGACTTAGGGCAATTGGGACGGCCTTGGCTGGGGCAACAGGGAAGTCGACTGGGTCAATTGCGGCATCTGCGTGGGAAACAATACGGGCAAGTACACGATTGCCGGAGCCGTACTCACGGGCGAGAGCTTCGTTTGTGATGACAAGAGCAGATGCACCGTCGTTAAAGGTCGAGGCGTTTCCGGCGGTAATAGTTCCGGTACCGTCCCGGACGAAGGCGGGTTTCAGGCTGCGTATTTTATCAGCGCGGAGGTCCTCGAACCCTTCGTCCCTGTTGACGACAACTTCGCCCTTCTTCGTTTTGATTGTGACAGGAGTAATCTCATCGTCAAATTTGTTCTCCTTCCACGCGGCTTGCGCACGTTCATAGGACTGGATGGCATAGGCGTCCTGCTCCTCCCTTGTGATATTGTGCTTCTTTGCCGTGTTCTCAGCACAGACACCCATATGGAATTGGTTATAGACGTCCCACAGTCCGTCTTTAACCAACCCGTCCTCCAGCTTCATGTCTCCGAAGGGGGCTTGCTGGCTGGCGCGGGGTAGGTAATAAGGCACACGGGACATATTCTCCATTCCGCCGGCGACCTGAGCTTCAGCAAGGCCAAGCTGGATGTTCTGTGCCGCCATGACGACCGCCTTCATGCCCGAGGCGCATACTTTGTTGATGGTGACAGCTTCAACCGTTGTGGGAAGGCCGGCGAAGATTGAAGCCTGTCGGGCAGGGGCCTGGCCGACGGAGCCCTGGAGCACATTTCCCATGTAGACATCAGTGATTTTCTCGACAGGAACCTTGGACTTGCTGATGGCTGCCTTTATGGCTTCAGCACCAAGCTTCGGTGCCGGGACCGTGGTGAACGGGCCGTTGAACTGTCCTCCCCATTCATTGGTTAGACCAACATCTCAAAGAAATATGAGTGTATTCGTACACGTTCTATGGACTCACCTTTGCAGTTGGCGTCCTAGCAGCGCCGAGAATATATGCATCCTGAATTTCTCGTCGAAGTGCGCCGGATGTGCTGAAATGTCGCTGGACCTGTCCAAGTCGTTGCGCCGAGCCGCGGCTGGCAAGGCTGGCCAGTCTGGAAGTATGCATCATTCTTAGTCTTGAAAGGTGCAGGATGGCGGAGCGAAGGGAGACGCAGCAGCACTCCACAAAACTCCTGTATATGTATATCTGTCTCGAGCAAGCAGGCTTTGATGCTGTCAAAGATGAATCTGAATCTTCTTCTGTTTCTGCTTCGTCGTCCTCCCTCTTTTTTTTGCCGCGAGGGAGCACCTCGGGAGTTTCTTTTTGGTCCGAGCTCCCTCTCTCCTGCCGAAACTACCCGCGATCACGTGCAAAATTCTTCGGCTGTTCGGCACCGCCAACCGAGATGACTCAGCATCCGTAAAGGGACTGTCGGGTGGGTCGACCTGCTATCACGAGACTTCGGGTCATGGAGCCCGCCATCCCGTCCTTCAAGTCTGCATATGTTGCACATTTTACCTGTCCTCATATTGTTAACGGCCTCCGAGTTCTGAGACGCTCAAGTCCTCTGCCGAAGTCATTTATTCTGGCCTCCTTGATTAGGGATTAGGGAAACCTCAGAATACCATAATTTGCCAGCATGGTATAGAGATGGCGTCCTCCAAATCAGGAATATAATAGCTGCACATTCTCCTGGTAGCTCTCTCGCGATTTTTCACGATAATTGCGGAGGGTCAAGAGGAACACGCTAAGGAAACGGAAAAGCGGCTACTTCAATTATTAACGGCTCTATAGACCAATCCTATTTGTTTCGAGCTACCCTCTCGAAGGAAACCACCTTGATGATATTGTATGGCTTCTCTCAGAAGTTAGGTTTGAAGAATTTGAAGTTTAAGAGCAATCTGCGATGCGGAGCTCGACGAGCAGCATCGTGAACTCGAGAGGGTATCGAAAACATTTTGACGCAGTGTTAAAGAGAGAACTTGGTGAGCTGTATATAAATACCCCAGGATTCTACAAGGCGTTTTTTCAAGGCATCGAATGGCTGCGGCCGCCAGGGCTGTATTTGAAAGATGTTCGGGAGGGAAGGATCCCCTTTACAGCAACGAGTCTGGCTGGAGAGAATGGTCGCGTGAAGGAGGAAGATATACTAAGCTGACTCCAAGGAACAATGGGCGAACTCGTTAACCTATATAAGGAGGAGTATGCACCAGACCAGAGACAAGTACGACAAGCAATCTCACGCCTGGTTCGAGCTGGGACGGTATATGACGGAAATGATAATCGCCCAAGACCGTCGCCTGATTTGTAAAAGCGGTAGCTTATGTGCTTGTTGACGTTTCCACCGCACCATTAATCACTTGAAGATACCACGAAATCTGTTTCAAGCCCGACGTGAACCATTTTTGTTATTCTTATTCGGCAGCCAGGCCAAGGGGATCACAGGATCAAACCCCGTGCTCTGCTCGGTATGGCAACTCCGCAGGCTTTCCGTGACATCTTGCCACATCCACCAGAGCTTCATCCAATGAAGAAGCTTTAGAGCTTTTGAGATGATCGGGACAATCCAATTTTTGTCCCTTTTCACTACAAAGACATTAACCAAAGCGTAAGGAGGATTTCAAAAATGAAAGTTAAAGTGGGTAATACAACCTAGTCTTATTATAGGCAATATAATATCAGTAAAAACTCATAAACGAGGAGACTAGACAAGTATAATGAGACTAAATGACTGGAGGCTGTTTAATAATGCTATTCTTCTTCTCAGCAACATACAGATGCTGGTTTCCTGGCGCAGTTGCGAAGTATAGAGATTGTCTGATGCCATTACCAGAGAGTCTAGTGACACCAGCGGTTGCTGGTGTGACAATACCTGCCTCTAAAATCCAGTCAGACACAGCATTGCCTTGCAAATCCAGTAGCTGTATCTCAACGGAGATTTGCCGTCGCCTGAGTGTTCCACCAGCCGTTGTTATTAGGACATCAGCGCCATATCCCATGTAGGTTGGAGGGATGCCCAAGGCTGTTATATCCGTATCAAAGACTGTCATGGTATTACTTCCAGTGTCGTTGAGTAATGTGACATCTATCGAGAAAGCAGGAGATAAGAGACCCGGAACTGGCCTAATTCGTGCAAATATCTGCCTGGTTTAATGGTATGTATCAATGTGTATGGCTGAGTAAATCCTTACTAGAAACCTAGAATACTAACCTCATGCCCAGGGGCTTGGCCTGATGGGTAGTGATTGTACCTCGTGCGGTGAGCGAGTTGCTGGTTCAAAGGCTGGAGGGGGTATGAATGTAAGCCAGGAGGTCGGCCTCACAAGAATGTACTAGACAGGAATGCGTACGCTCTCAGACATAGGCTGAGAAGCCTGGCTCGGAACCATAGCCTGTGAGGATAACTGCTGCCCATAGCCCTGGATTAAAATAAGAGTAAGCACAGAATCGTTTTGCGAGAATGGATGTGAAGAAAAGTACCTCAACCCAATATGGTCGCTTGAAATCAATATTCTTATGGGGAACAACTTTGCCATCCTGGATCCATTTGAAGTGTCCTGGGAGCTCATTTTCACGATACAGGTTGATAGCTGTTTGGAGGTTTTTTTTCTGGGGCTCACTTGTGGTAGGATCATCAATCATGGTCTGTAGCTCCGTGATACGTCCTGGTACATCCCACTGAATGGGGTGGGGACATGCAGGCAGTGGGTTGAAGGGGCGGGTCGACATGGCTTGCGAAGTGCAGTGAAAATAATGACCTGAGGTGGGGGTTGAATTGCGAGGATGGTGGGCTGCCTTTTATTTTGTTATATATGGTGGGGCATTAGTCACCTGATCTCGCCACATCTCGCTTAGCTCCTGCCTCGCACGGGTCCAGACACACCCCGCGCCACCGGAATCTGAGTATGATGGTTGATTGCTGGACTTCCTATAAATTGGTGAAGCTACTTATGATAACTACTCCGTACATGAAGGACAATGATAGAGTCCGGAGCAGAGCATGGTGGGCCCGGTGAGAGCTCCACCAAGGCACACGTATGTATACTCCAGCTCATACGCGCAGTAGGAATGGCCGGATGTATTGTATTCTATTCTCGCTGCCTTGCTAGACTACAAACCTGATCCTATGCTCCTGTAGCTTAATTTCACCTGCCTAGTGACCGGAAAGGCATTTAGATCGCCTTTCATGGCAGCAATTATAATTTCCACTACTAACTTGCTCTGGGGAATAACAACGGTATACACGCCCACTTCACTTAAGTCTAGGCATCTACAGGGATCAACTCCCCTTGCATAGTCCTCAGTATCTCTGTGACCACATAGTCGCCCTGGAGCCACATGTCGTCAGGTATATCATTTTCTTCTTGTCCTCCTCGCTTCACGAGGCGCCCATTAGGTAATTTCCCCCATTCTCCAAGGTCAATCGTTCCTCCCATGTCTGCTTCCTCTATATGGAAGGCTCGGCTATTCAAATCTGCTACTAAGGCAGGTACTGCCTTAGTAATGTTTGAAATCACCTGTCGTATGTTGAAAGAATCGCGAACCCGGATTTCGTAAACGTGCACGACATGGGTCTGACCGAGTCTTTTGACTCTTCCAATAGCTTGGTCTTGAGATGCCTTTGAGGTTGGTGGGCTGAAGATTACCACATTTCTGCATAACTTCTGCAAGTTCAAGCCCGTGGAGCTCACATTATAACTACAGACGAGAACCATTACCCTTTCAGGGTCGGTAGTAAAGGCCTGTACTAGGTGTTCTCGCTCAGATACAGACGGATCTGCACTAATCCCCACAAGCTGGGGCACGGGAAGTACTAGCACTTGCTCTGCTGGGAACAAACACCAAATAACGACTTTCTCTTCTGCTCGCAGGACTATGTCGGTGAGAAGGGGCATAAGGACCTGCAATCTCGGCGATTCCTCTAACAAGCATACAAGCTGGCCGAAATAGTCATCCTTTTTAGGCAAGTTGATGAGTTCATCTTTCTTTGAAGCTGCCTTGATCCACGTATAGGCCAGGGCCTTGCGATATGCCTTCTGTGTTGATGGTTCCACGTCCTTTGCTTTGATTACCCCGTGGATAGATTCGAAGCCAAGCCAGGTTGTCACCAGAACTAGTAAGCGGTATACTTTCATGTTCCACAGTATCCGACCATTGCGATTATTGAAGACAAGCTTGCCTTGCCATTTTTGATAAAGCAGCGATATGCTCTGCGGCTTTGTCATACCGCCAACGGGACCTTCGGCTTAGATCTCCACCTTGCTCAATCATCTCCTTGATGACGGTAAATCGTATATCGGGGCGTCTATTCAGGATGGCTGACAATTCATTGATTTCTGAGGCCGAATCCTTCAGACTTGGTTGCTCTACCCGGAGTTACTTGCAAATAGGGTCATCGACTGAAATACCCTTCGTGAATGAATCGTAAATGGCTAAAAAGTCGGGAAGAAAGTATTAGTAAAATGTTATAAACGACATTAGTTAAAACCATTGGCTTCCTACCGGCTTGATCCCTATGCGAGAAACTCTTTATATCAGGAATGACACAATGGAAACACGTCAATCCAACTTTGATCCAGTCGGATCCTTATTTTTCTTGAATTTCCAGCCAGCCACCAAATGTTGAGGATGAATGCATTGACTGATATATATCGAGGCTCAAGCCTACTTGGAGATGGCTCTGCCATGCAGTTTCTGGTAGACGTTGGTCCACACTATCCGTACCCCGATAAGGAACGGCCTTGTGCAATTATAACCCCGGTATGATACAAGTCATACTTGTTAAGTATTTATATCCGTCTGCCACTACACTAAAAGGAGTGAGCCCACACTGATAGTAGGCAGAGCTGAAGTTTCACAGTGTTGAAAGTATCATTTCTCGTGTCGCTTTCCAGGAATAGTCGGCTGAGACGCGATCAATAGGAAGAATGATATTTGTCGGGTTAGTAGCTCCATCAAAACCTCGTTTGTCCACTCCTCGCTATCATCACTGGATCCTCTTGAAGAGCGAGATCTTCCGTCTCGCGAGGGGCGAATCCATGAAGGGAGGTTTCCAACGGGTCTCACGGGCGAAGCGAAGCTCACGATGGTAGAAGAGGCCATTTTTTATGAAAATCAAGGGTGTATGAAAACTGCAGACATTTCCCTTTCCCACTGAACGCAAATGATGATAACAAGGTGATGTGCGACTAGATAACTAGTATATAAAATAAATCACCAGGCAGCTATGTTAAGATCAACAGGGGAAGCGTTGGTTGTAGCCTATGAGTGGTGCGAATAGCGTGTGTCGGGAAAGGAAAAGGAAATAACTAGTTATATGGTGGGGATTATGTTGCTGCATTAACTAGTCACTGCCCAGTCCGTTTGCCGCTTCTCATTGCTGCTGGAAGTGACTGTCCTATAACCAGAGGTAGGAATATACTTGGTCCGCATACGACTGACTGAGTAAGGCTGATCCGTTTTCGAGAAACTTTCAAAGCAAGGGTTTATTGGCAACGCGGAGGAGAGTAGGTCGTTGCATGGCAGTTCAGATTTGTGAAAGTCTTTGATCATCAATACTGAGCTTACCTTTGTACCCGGCCTCCAGAATCCGAGTCTGCACAGGAGGGATGGACTTCCCCAATTGCACTGTCAGAATACACGAGGCAAAAGTTCTCTTTATTAGACAGCATTCCCTTACACTCCCTAACTAACCCCCCTAAGGCCTAACCCCAACCCTACCCTAAGTCTTACTAGAAGAAAGGAGGAGCTAAAAGAGAAGAGCGTATCGCTATCTTCAAGGAGATGGCGGCCGCCAATCTGCCTGTCTGTTTATACTTAGAGGCGAACGACCACCCCGCCCTCTAACTAGCTACTTAGATGACTCCAATAAGTGGGGTTATGATAAGTTCACGTCGCCAGAACTTTCTCTTTCGCGAGGTCATTGACGATGTCTCCCAGGTCCCAGACCACGTCAAGGATACTGATAAGCCCGAGTCAACCACCCCAAACAAGAATGTTTCCAAAAAGGGTGACGCCAAAGCCAACGGCAAGGGCAACGCCAACCATGACGGCAAGGAGAACGCCAGAGTCGACGGCAAAGGCGACGCCAACGGTGACGGCAAGGAGAAAACCACGGATACTTAGGCCACTATTGAGGCAATTGGTGCTGCGATCGATATAACCTACGCATTCTACTAGAGGATAAACAAGTATATCGCTAAAAGAACTATAAACCCTACTACAAGTTACCGAATACAATAAGGCGCTCTAATCTAACCACAAGGCACAGTAGCGTCTACAAGCGGCTATGTCTAGCCTTACTATCGCCTTTGTTGCTTCCCAAACGGCTGCTACCAGATTGGCAGACGCTACGGCGGCCGTTACAACCACTTCCGCTCTGACTCCGGCTTGGGCTGCCGTCGAGCGCCTAGCTACAGATACCGAACTTGACAACGTCAGGAAGGACACCACCTGGGTAAAGAAGGGCGCTACGCTTCAGTCAGCTCTGGCTATGTCGGATGAGGTCCTCGCGGAGCGTATCGACTCGATGGTCCATGACAAGAAGATCTGAGTGTTATCCTCTTTAACGTCAGAATGTTTGCGACGACACTGCCTTCATCATGTTAACTGCCTTCTTGCCCCTCCACACATTATGTTAACCGCCTTTTTCACTTCATGTTATCACCTTTATGTATCCATGGATGTAACGACGTCTTCATTCCCCCCGATGTGGTGACCTTGACTACGGCGTCACGTGCACAATCTGGCTGACGGAGCAACGTCAACTACCAATAACGTCATAACGTTAACTACGTGCCTCGCACGCAGTAAGGGCAGTAACTGTCCGAAAATCAATTAAGAAGCTAAAACCTGGCATGCGACGTGATTTTAAGTGGTAGAAATATATGACTAACTAGTTTTATAAGTCGATAACTAATACGCAACATTATCGAAGTCATTCCCTCACGCCTATTTAGAAACCTAGAGATAATAGCCTACTTTTGTATGCGCAATGAACGCCTGTGGGCTATGAATTAGGCTGCTAAAATGTGTAGTATGTAAAAGAGCACTCCTTTCTCGGCTTTATATACTCTTTCTCCAATCAAGATCATTATTGACCCGTGCTAGCTGGTATACTTAGTGATTCCTAGGCCGTTTCAAAATTTGTGTCTGTCGAGTAAAGGATGTATTGGATGTAACTTCATCTTCATCTACAACAGGTGGAGTGCTTGGCTGAGGGAGATCGGGAGCCGAATTCGAGATACTAAAATTCACCCCAGGAGGGATTTCGTCAATAGCAGAGCGTATTCTTTGCAGGTGCTCTGGTGCCCATTTTTCATACACATTCCTGATAAACTTGTATGTAGTCCACTTATCTCTCCCCTCCAGCTCTGTAAAATCAAATGTCCTAATAGGATGCCGATAGAACGATATCTTATCTCCATCGATGACGGGATAATGTCCATAGATTCTCACTGTCCTATGGTCATGCGAGAGAGAGAAAGCCAGGATCTCGCGGTTAACCTCGTCTCCACGCCCCACGTACCTAAGCAGCTCGACGACCCCTCTCACGGCAAGAGTCATGCTGTGCGCATTCTGCCGGTCGGCAATATCGAGTGCAGCGGTACCCTTAACCTCACATGTCAGAAAGGGAAAGTACATGTAGAAGGTGCCCAAAAAGAGGGAGCTGTAGGTGTCCGGGTCGTATCCAAGAAAGGGTTCGAATTTTTTCAGTTGGTCGTCTGTGAACGCAGATCGGTCAAATGCGACGGCGTAGTCGGGCTGCGGGAGTGGTCCGTAGAAGGCGATAGACGATCCCCAGCGCTCATTGACACTCTCAACTAGATGTTTTAAATTCTCGGCACCATCTACCGCGAGAGTCTCTGCTGAGGGGACAATTAATCGGCTTATATCTTGAATAACCCTAGATTCATTCTTTCCTTGAAGCCTTTGACAGACTTCATCGAATGTATCGTCTCGAAACAACGTGTGTTCGGGAATTGGTTGATCACTCTCCAGTAAATCCTTACAGAGAAGTTTACTCTTTTCCGTAATACCCAGGTCTGATTTGCGCATAAAGCTGCCTTTGATTGCTAGGACGGTTTCATAGGAAGTGCTCCAATACTTTGCGCTTTTCCCGTTTCTTGACTCTCGATCAGCGGGTGTGTTGGAGCCTGTAGCAAGACTTGAATTGGAGCTCTTGCGATGAAGAGAAGCTGAAGACTTTTTTCTTGCAAGAGGGTAACTCATGTCTTTAGTTGGTGCCACTTGTTGTACGAAATATTCCTTAGGCCAACTTTTGTGCTCGCACCAATATCTAATCGGTCTGTCACTCTCCGCACTAGTCGTATATATCGAATACTCTATCACAGGATGTTCAAGAGAAAAGGCAGGGTTGAATGATCGCGGTCGTTTTGGAGATGGGAGAGATAGATCTTCACAGGGCCGCTTGTGGTTATGTTTGGAGGTTAGGTCCTGGGCATGCGCGCAGGGAGGAATATCGTTTAGTACCTTCATCGAATTAGCTTCGTATCACTAGAAATATGATGGGAATGCACCTACGGGAGGGTGTGTGCGGTAGGGCGTTGGTTGTGTTTTGGTCTTCACTCGTTTGGTATACTTTTCTAAAAAAGTGGTCAGTGTTGAACATTGTAAAGAAGTTCTAGGCGATACCTTCGTCTTCTGGTGCCTCACGCTTTCTAGTAACCTTCTCCGTTTGGTATTTCAGTCTGTCGCTGCTGCGAAGCATTTGATGTTGAAGCATTGTGGTGACAAAAGAGTGAAGTGCCCCCCTTTTATATCACGAATGCAGAAGATAGAAAGCGGCAATGAGTTAGGATGGGGAGGATCCAAGATGAGCTACGTGTAGAGGAAGGGAAGGCGAAGGCGGCCAGGAAGAAATGCGAAGGTAGTTAACACATGCTTAGTCATTTAATTAGTCATACCAGAACGGCAGAAAAAGCAACGAAAGAACGAGCAGAGAACTAAAACATCCACCAACTGCAGGAGAAAAGCCACCATAAAAATCGTCAAGGAGAACAGTAAAGGAAAAAGGAAGAGAAGGGCTTGCGCGGCTATTGAGATAACCAGCAAGGCAGCTACTCACCCCGCAAAATAGAGATCACCTTCTTCAAGCCCGATCCGCGAGGGAACCACCAGCAGGACAGGGTACCGCCACTATCACAATAGCCGCCAGGGTTGTTTGTCCAGTCTATCTATCTGTCTCGATATCTCCCTCCCCGCCATGTCGACCTCAGCTCGCCGTCGCCTCATGAGGGACTTCAAGGTATGTTGTCGCAGCTACCACTACAAGCAGTTCCTGTCTGCTACGAGGGCTTTCACTAACCGTGGCTTTGTTGTAGCGGATGCAAACCGACCCTCCCGCCGGCGTCTCCGCATCTCCTATCGCCGATAATGTCATGACTTGGTACTCAAGCTGTGCCCAGCCGTATTGTTACTGTATGGCCGGAATCGTGCTAATACTCATGTCTAGGAATGCTGTTATCATTGGGCCTGCCGACACACCATTTGAAGATGGAACTTTCCGCCTCGTGATGCATTTTGAGGAGCAGTATCCGAACAAGCCCCCAGGCGTCAAGTTCGTCAGCCAGATGTTCCATCCAAACGTTTACGGCACCGGAGAGTTGTGTCTAGACATCCTGCAGAACCGCTGGAGCCCAACTTACGATGTTGCTGCCATCTTAACTAGTATCCAGAGGTAAGGGATTCTCGAACCTACCATTAGCCAGAGTAACTTACTAAACCGGGCGGCTTGTCAAAATAGTTTATTGAATGATCCCAACACGTCATCCCCTGCCAACGTCGAAGCCTCTAATCTCTACAAGGATAACCGCCGAGAGTACACCAAACGTGTTCGTGAGACCGTTGAGAAGAGCTGGGAGGACTAATCTATGTCTTCCTCGCCTCACAGCTGTTTGAACGAAGTTCTTGATTAATATAACGCCGCTGCCATACCGCCAATCATTCCTATGATTCTACGACTCACCGCCTCCCAATCCCACCATTATCTCCCTCTCTTTCGATATTTTTGTTCGCCATGCACAGCGTTGGGGTTATGGCGTTGAGTGCTTT